ATATGTCGACGGTGATTGCATCTTGTCGGAGGAGGGGACAACCCAGGGAGACCCTCGGGCAATGTACATGTATGCCATTTGGCATGATGCCTCTCGTGAACAAAGCAAAACAAGCCGGGACTATCCAGTCTTGGTTTGCAGATGACTCCGCAGCGGCGAGTGTATTGCGTAGGCTCCGTCGTTGGTGGGACATCGTGGCAAGTGATGGCTCAGCTTATGGATATTTCCCAAATGCATCAAAAATCGATTCTGGTGGTGAAGGAGCGTTGCTATCGTGAGGCACTTGAGCTGTTCAGCGACACCAGTGTCGTCGTTACGTGTAATGGAGCTCGGTACCTGGGGGCAGCCATCGGCTCAGCTGATTTCAAGGAGAACTTTGTATTGACTAAGGTCCGGGAGTGGGCTGATGAGCTAACTCGGTTGGCTGATTTCGCTCGCTCGCAGCCCCAGGCAGCATATTATGCATATGCCTCGGGCTTGAGAAGTCGCTGGGCTTTCCTATGCCGCGTTCAGTCTATTTCTCCGTCCCAGTTCCAGCCACTGGAGGACGTGATAACCACGAAGCTTATACCAGCAATGACGGGTCGGCCACCGCCTGGCACAGTGCTGAGTGAAGTACTAGCAATGCCCTGTTTTTTTTTTTTTTTTTTTTTTTTTACTTGAAAAAGCACATAACCACCAGGAAAGCTGACAAAGAAAAAAGAGTAAGAAAAGACAGATAAAAAGAGAGCTGAGAGAGAGAGAGAGTTGGGGTACGGTTAGGGGAGGACGAGACATTGAATGGTGGTCGCCACAGTCACAGATAGTAGCAGTGCTGGTGAGGCTACAGGCACTCCACTGACCATTAGGTCTCAGTATCGCCATGCCGGTAACGCACCAAGAGACAAAAACGGAAGAAAATCTGAAGCGCAATACATGAATGGTAATTACAATATAGGTAATAGGGAGAGTGGTGACCAAGAGAGGACAGTATAGACCGTTAGTATGGGGTGCTTCAATGCACATCCCCAAACCGAGAGGTGCGATCTGGAAAGAACAGTGAGACGATCAACATGATGGGTTTCAAAGCACGTCCCAAGACCATGGCTGGTCTGAAATGTGTTTGTTGACACCTTTTTTAAAAGCTGTGAGTGGAGAGTGATTGGCCAGACGGGGAAAGACGTCCTCGGGGAGGCTGTTCCACAATTCAAGGAAACAGTAGGGGAAGGAACGTCGAAGGTAATCGGGACTGGTGCCGGGGGTGGTGTTTAAGAGCTGTTCCCGGTGCTGGCGCTGAGCATAATGCTGCCGGCGGGTTCGAACAGTATCGGCCCGTGGTTTTGGGGGAGGGCGCATGCGTGTCAGACGGGGTGGGCCCTTGCAGTTAACTACCTTGTAGAGATAAGACAGCCCTGCAACCGTCCGTCTGGCCCGCAGACTCTGGAGGACGGTGGTGGGTCCAATCATCTGCATGGCCTTGCGCTGTGCTGTGTCCAACTTCCCAAGGTGGGTCTGGGCAGCACCAAGCCAGGCTAGTGGGGCATACTCAAGTATGGGCCTTACAAAGCCCTTATAGACGGTTAGGCGTCCAGCAGCATCCAGGATGGGGGCTGCCTTCCGCATGAAATGGAGGCGTTGATGTGCGCGCACAGAAAGCTGGTGGAGGTGGGCGCTGAAGTTGAGCTTCTCGTCGAACACCACCCCAAGGAGCTTCAACTGGCTGCTGACAGGAACAGGGGTGCCAAGGAATTGGACAGGGGGGAAGTCTGGAGGGGCCAGCTTCCTGGTCACGGACATCAGCTGTGACTTAGAGGGCTCAAAGGTAACCCTCCAAGTACTTCCCCAGGCTTCCAGCTGGTTTACGGCTGTCTGAAGTGCAGCTGCGGCGGCCTCTGTGGTCTGTCCAGGCATGACAGACGTGTATAACGTAGTATCATCAGCATACACGGCAATGGAGACGCTGGCAGGTAGCTGATCTTCGGCGTCGTTTATGTACACTAGAAACAATGTGGGCCCTAGGATGCTGCCCTGAGGGACGCCTGACCGGATGGTAGAGGGGGTAGAGGTCTGTCCCCCAACAACAGCTTGCAGCTTCCGGTTCTGGAGGTACGATGTTAACCAGGCCAGCAGTTGCCCGCCAATGCCATAGCCTCGGAGCTTGCAGAGGAGCCCAGGGTGTGAAACCCGGTCAAACGCGCCTGCTATGTCTATGGCGAGGGCCTGAATGGTTCCGCCCTTACTGGTGGTTAAAGCCCATTCATGCTGGAGTGACGTTAGTAGGTCAGCTGTGCCGATTGATTTCCGAAAGCCAAACTGGTTGGCAGACAGGAGGGTATTGCTGTTGAGATGGTTGATGAGCTGCTGGTTGACTATTCTTTCCATCACCTTGGATACTACACAGAGCAAGGAGACTGGTCGATAATTACGGACATCGCCTTTGGCCTTGCGCTTGTGGATGGGAACCACATTGGCTACCTTCCAGGCTGTAGGCTGGTAACCATGGGAGAGACAAGACGAGAACAGCTGCGACAACGGCTTTGAGAGCTCAGACGCACACTCCTTTAGAACGCGGCAGGAAATGGAGTCTGGCCCGGACGCTTTGGATACTTCAAGACACCGGAGCTGCTTGAGCACTGCTGATTCCCGGAAACGGATTTGACTCAGGATGGCGTCAGTGCGTGGTGGGAAAGGCGGGAGTGTGTCTTCTGTGAGATCGTTTGGGATGCTGCACTTCTCTGCGAAGAATGATGCGAAACAGTCGGCCTTGGAGGAGGCCGTGGTACATTGCTGACCATCGGCCCCCTTTAGGACAGGAATATCAGATGTGCGGGATAGACCTCCTGCACGCTTCATGTTTGACCACCATGCTTTGTCACGTAGGTTTCCATTCGACAGCTTGTTCCTCAATGAAGATACATGAGCCTGCTGCGCTGCATGGAGCACAGTGGCAACTCTCAGGCTGGTTGCAGTGTAGGTATCAGACAATTGCAGATCAGTTGGGTGTGCACGGGTGTGTCGCCAAGCACGGTTTCTTGCAGACACAGCTGTACTACATTCAGGAGTCCACCAGACAGGGTCACACGTTCTGACTGACAGATGCTTCGATGGGATGAAGCGATCCATGCCCTCCTGGATGCGGGAAGTAAGTTGTACGCATGCGTGTTCTGGGTGGTGGCTAAGAATGTGCTGCCAGTCTGTCTGACGAATAAAATGACGCATGCGGCCCCAGTCAGCCTGGTTGTAGCGCCAGACGCGGCGTCGAGACACGGGCTCAGTACGGAGCGTGACTGGGCTGAACTCAGCAAGAATCACACAGTGGTCTGTCGTTTGGGTGGCCTGGGCCTGGTCAGCCCGATGACTTTGTGCGCCCAGTATGAGTCGCCTGTCGCCATCACAGCATCTCTCTCTCGGCGTATCGTGGATCGTGTTTCTGATATTGGGAATTCTCTGATTGGCATCCAGCGGGAGAAGGCGAAGAGGAAGAAGGAAGTGCGTCATAGCCAGGCGGAGTCGGCACGGCGTATCAGCAATGATGCGTCGGACGCCTTGCGACACACCATTGTCCTCGCCCGTGAACCTGGCTCCTCGAGTTGGCTGACTTGCCGTCTTTTGAAAAAGTATGGCTCTTCACTGAGCAAAGCTGAGTTCATGGACGGCTTGTGCCTCCGTTATGGTTGGATGCCGCCGAGGTTACCAACTCATTGCTCTTGTGGACGGGACAATGGTATTGACCATGCCTTGTCATGTCCCCTTTGTGGGTTTACCATTATCCGCCGTAATGAGATCCGGGATGTAACAGCCTCTCTCCTTCAAGAGACCTGCCACAATGTCTCCATTGAGCCACTACTGCAGCCACTCACTGGAGAGAGAATGAGATACAGGTCTGCTATTGTGGAGGAGCATGCGTGGCTTGATGTAGCGGTCAGTGGCTTGTGGGGCAGTCGTTTTGAGCGTACTTTACTTGATATACGGGTTTTTAATCCTCATGCACGCTCAAATCAATCTGCACCACACACCACTGTCTATCGGCGCCATGAAAAAGAAAAGCGGCGATGCTATGAAGAGAGAGTGAGAGAGGTGGAGCATGCGACGTTCATGCCTGTTGTGCTGTCGGCAAGTGGTGGCATGGGAAGAGCGGCGACTAGGTGTTGGCGGATAATGCCGGCATTATATCGAGCATTATACACCACCCGGAGCATTACGAGCATTATGTATATGTTATCGCATGGTTGCAAGGGCCTTATGGCATATTATTGCCCCGAGAGGTTAGCCCGAGGGCCGTAGGCCCGAGGGCTAACCTCGAGGGGCAATAATATGCCATAAGGCCCGCATCAACCATGCGATAACAAATTTATCACATGGCCCACAGAGCAGACCATTGGGCTGCTGTTGAAATTAGCCCAAATGCCAACACATTATGACCACAATGTATATTGATGTGCTATCATTATCAAAACAGGAAAAATGAAGATATTTCTCCTACACCCTAACAAAAGTCTGCTACAGGCCATCAGAGAGTATACAGCACTGAAAGACGGAGACAGAAAAAAAGTGCCGGCACCGCATCGTCATAGCAATAGACATGGCAACGACAATAAAATACAGCAGAATCATAATTTCAGTTGAAAAATTAAAAAGAGTGCTACCACAAAGAGTTTCTTCATGTTTACATGTGTATCAGGAAGTTGTCAAATACAGTACTGCAACAAGTGCAAGCATTTGACGACTCCCTGGTGTGCAATTCTGAGGACAATTTTTCTTCTTTTTTTCAGCTCCAGATAGCTGTGTTTTTCATTGCAAAACATTCCTGAATTGTTGTGTTTGTTGTTCAAGCAAAGGTGAAGGCAGAGGACATATGAGCCTGGTAAGAGTTTTGCGTGGCACATGAAGACCACACACAGGCAGTGACTTTGCGAGGATCTGAAAACGCACGACGCTGAGTTGAATTTGTGTTATTTCAAATAATTGTTTGTGATCACAGTACCACTTCGAGCAGAACTGAATCTTATCCACAAGCTTACCGACGGTCAGGCTGCCAACATGACTGAACAAATGATCCCTGCAAGCACCACACGGCAGACGTCCGAGGCCATGTCCATTGCCGGGATGTCCATCTCCAAAAAGAATTCCATCTTCTCAATGCTACACTGCGACTCGTCGTAGAGTCGTAGAGTCTACAGTCTTCGTAGTCACGCGATCACTGAAATAAACTATTTTTTTGCGGGCAAATAAACTATTTTTTTGCGGGCAATATCGCATATTATTGCCCGCGGCGCGAAAGGTGCTGATTCGCTGGAGTACGGGCAACAATCACGTGCCATGTGATAAAAAGCATTACGAGGCCAAAAATGGCATTATACGACGTTCTACATGACTGCATAGTAGATCTACACACATCGTCAATTCGTCATGACACACATTGTACAGATTCGTATCGGCTATAGCGGCTAGGTCTTTGATTGGCAACATATAATTTTATAACATACGCGATGTACAAGCGATAGACCACCGTACACATCATGCATGGTACCAAGAGTCCATAAATAATAAAGGTTATGGACTCTTGATGATGATGGTACCAAACAGATCGTGGCACACACTGTGACACAGTCAGTGCCAGGCCCAGTATGTATCTAATATTGACTGAGTACGAGGTCAATATAGGAAATAAAAGCCGAGTAAAAGACCGAGGCGAAGCCGAGGTCTTTTACGAGGTTTTTATTTCCCATACTGACCAAGTACGAAGTCAATATTAGATTTATCACGACAAACAGTCCGTATTTCAAATTCCAGAACGATAACCTCATGAATCCCGGTTTTATGATTGCACAACCATTGCACCACCACCTACTCATGCAGTGACAATGCTGCACTAGGCACCGTTCAACTGCGCAACCCCTAAGCAGTCAAATATAAGCAGTCAATATAGCCGTAAGGAGTGAAATATGCAGGAATATTTGACTGCTTAGGTATGGCAAAAATCTATGTGAGTCAATACGAAGGGAGTGATAAACCATGGTATACTGCATGCAGTAGTGCTAGCTACAATGTAGCTGTGGTCCAGCACCATGACTACATGAGCACAGTGTGGAAACTCTCGCAGAAACTTCCGGTCCCGGAAGTCTATCTTCGGCCAGCAACTACTTACTTTTTGAAGATCCAGGTAACAACGCCGAACCAACGAAACAAATGACTACCGTATTATCTCTAATATAAGCACAGTCTCCAATAATAGCACGTCTCCAATAATAGAACACCTTGGGGCAGCATTCAAAAAATAAAGTGCTCAGTCTCCAATATAAGCACACTGTGTAAATTCATTATCTGTACCGGCGAAAAAAACCCTGAAATGTGTGTGTCATACATGAATGTGGCATGGCAACATGCCTCTGAAATGAGGTTGAAATAATAATGGAACAGTCTCCAATAAAGGAACGTCTCCATTAATAGCACGGGTCGGAGGTACATTGAAAAAATAAAGGACCGTGCTTATATTAGAGATAATACGGTATGTGAGCCAGCATGGAACGGTGGAGGTGCGCACACACACACATTCCAGACCTTACCCGGTTACCGTCCACACTGTTACAAAAAAACATTCTTCATCGAAGCAAGAGTCCATGTCTTTGTCGAAGAGTAACGCTGGACTTTCACTGGACATTGAGCATTGTGTAAGACCAGCTAACTAGCAGCCAACGCTGATGGCTGACTCGTCGCGATGCCGTTCTTGGGATTGGCAGATGGGCTTTTGGCGGAGTCCTCTGATGATGGTGACGTCGTCGAGTTGGAAACTGCAGATCCTGCCGCGATAGCGAGGAAGCGGTCTTTTCAGAAAACAGCTATCACCAAGTCTGAAAATGTTTCCAAAAGGACGCGAGTAGCTCATGGACAGAGCACTGAAGTGGCCATCAGTGCCGAAACACGGGTGCGGGAGTTCCCAGATGAGCCGCTCAAAAGCGACTGTGGGCAAGTTAGTGTGCCTGGCATGCCATACAGCATTGTCAGGGAAGAAGATTATGATCATGTCCCATATTGCTACCGCGAGACACAAACAAGGAAAGTCCCGTTTGGAGAGGGAAACTCAGAGGCAGAAGCTGGTCAAGGAGTCCTTCTTGGCGTATCCTCTTTGTGCCGCCTCAATATGACTGTATATGTTTGTACCTAGCGTACATATTTACCTGATATTGCATTATGTGTTTATCATAGCATGGGTGCAATATTATAGCGGTCTTTTCAGAAAACAGCTATCACCAAGTCTGAAAATGTTTCCAAAAGGACGCGAGTAGCTCATGGACAGAGCACTGAAGTGGCCATCAGTGCCGAAACACGGGTGCGGGAGTTCCCAGATGAGCCGCTCAAAAGCGACTGTGGGCAAGTTAGTGTGCCTGGCATGCCATACAGCATTGTCAGGGAAGAAGATTATGATCATGTCCCATATTGCTACCGCGAGACACAAACAAGGAAAGTCCCGTTTGGAGAGGGAAACTCAGAGGCAGAAGCTGGTCAAGGAGTCCTTCTTGGCGTATCCTCTTTGTGCCGCCTCAATATGACTGTATGTGTTTGTACCTAGCGTACATATTTACCTGATATTGCATTATGTGTTTATCATAGCATGGGTGCAATATTATAGCGTTTTTCTTAGCCCAATACCGCAAGGCTCAGGTGTTTATATTCCATCCGGAGGAGCATTATCAGCATTATTTGGAGCATTATAATTATGGCCTTTTGTGGAGCATTACTTAAAGCATTATATCCCATATTACCGAGCATTATCCGCCAACACCTAGCGGCGACATCACTCTATCGCCGAATCGAGAGCGGAAAGGAAGAAGGAGCAGTACTCCCACGTAATATCTTACATCAGATGCCGTCTCTCATTTGCCCTGTTGCGATCATGCATCATGTGTTTGCGGGGTCTTTTCCGTGAGCGATCGGTTCGGCATCCGGAGTCTGCTGAGTTGGTTGTTGCTGAGGCCCAGGTTGCTCGCATGTGAGAATCTATAAATTGCAGCAGATTATTTTTATTATAAATACTGGACATGGATATTGAATTATTATTATTATTATTATTTATTATATAGACAACACCTCATGGCATGAGAAGAAAATCAGCCAGTACGGGAGATGTGGGTGTTAACCAACCATGGTGAATAAAAGAAGAAAAGTAATGGTCAAGACGGAGAAGCATGGGAGGGACAGGTGATGGTGAATCTAGTGAGCAGATTTAAATGCGTCCAGGGTACTGGCATTGCGCGTAGTAGCGGGCAGCGCAAGCCAAGCAGAGTAAGCAACAAAGAGTGGAGAGCGTACAAGGGAGGACGTTTTAGCCAAGGGGAGGGCAACTAGGCCTTGACGGATTATGCTAATATTTTCGTGAAATTATGCTTTTCGCATTGCTGAAAAAATGGCAGAATTATGCTATTTTTATGCTAAAAGTTTTCATATTATGCCACATAATGCTCACATATGCTGCTAATGTATATGATGGTTCTGTGCAAAATAACAGGGGAATTTTTGTAGAGGGCGTTGTACTGTAGTACTAGTAGCAAAAGTTCAACGGGGTCAACGCACCTTCCGACCTAGCTACGACCGTCACTGATTGTAGTGGACTGGACATGTTATCAAGGGAGTTAGTCGTAAACCTTCGACTTCCTGGTGCATCTACTTGTATTTGTACTTGTAAAACATGTACAACTGTATGGAATTTGATGTGAACAGTCGGATTATTCCAATTTATGCGATTCGTATGCAATTTGTCTCGAATTATGCGATTATTCGATTTTGGTAGGAATTATGCGAAAAATTATGCTAGCATAATCCGTCAAGGCCTAAGGGCAACAGAGCATCTTGTCTGGGAGCCATCTGTGATTAAACTGTACTCAGTGACTTTTTACATTTTACGGGCTACGTTTTATTATTATTATTATTGTAAAGCTTTCCTTTTGATCTTGTCTCTTATACTTTAGGGCTTGAAAGTGATGTTGTTGTTGTTGTTGTTTGGCTTTATTTAAAGTGGAGTTCCAAAACAGGCCTAAACCTAATGACAATGGTCCCACTGATAATAAGAGAAAAGAAAATATAATAATAAGCGGACAAACAGAACCAAGAAGAAGATACAGCTGTAGTTAGATAACTAATATGAGCACGGCAGCAGGGGAAAAAAAGTCACAAGCACGGCAACCGGGAAGAAAGGAGTGAGTGAGTGAGAGAGAGAGAGAGGTAGTGAAGCAGATGAGTTCATCCTAGTTGACGGTACTGCCTAACAGAAAGGCCAGGCTTAGCGATTTGAAAGTGGAGCGCTTTCTTTCGAGGCGTGCTGTGTCTGGGAGCTGGTTCCACAGGATAGCTCCAGCATGGCTAATGCGCTTAGCTGAGGATGCAGTGGGGGAGACAGGAATGATGAGTAACTTGCTGCTCCCTCCTCGTGTTCGGAGAGAGGGACTACGGGTGAAAAAGCTTGCAAACAGAGTACTTGAAGATTTGTTCAGGCAGCGCCAAATGAATACAAGGATGTGCATGTGGGTGTATATGCTGAGGGTATGGGCATTCATGCGTTCAAGTAAGGGAGCCGTGTGAGTGCGAGGGGCTGCCCTGCACACCGAGCGAGCCGCACGTTTGAACAAACTATTTAGGCGCTTATCCTGATAAGACGATAAGAAAGGGGCATAGGCAGCAGATGCATAGTCAAATTCTGATAGTATAAAGGACCTGAAAAACTGAACACGGCAAGAAAAAGGCAAACATGCTGCACTTCGATTTAGTAGCCCAATCTTAGCGGCAACGCGGCGTGCAACATGGCTTGTCATGGTGTTCCAGCTCATGTCCGAGTCGAAATGTAGGCCAAGATACTTGGCCGTTTTTTCAACAGGCAGCGTCTGCCCATTACAAAAATGACATGCAGCTCAAGTGCTTGAGATGGGGATGGGGGAATAGGCAGATGACGTCAAAACGGCCAGGGAGTAGTAAGTTGACATCAGATTTCTATTTTTGGATCCACTAAGGTGTGACTTTTCTATTGCCTAAGTATGTGGGTGCATAGCAACCCACTCATGTCGCATGCAGGTGTGACTTTTATTTCGCCACCAGTTGTAACCCCGCCCCCAGTAGCCAAATCAGTCAGTTTCACTGGTTACATCACTTTGCTGAGAGTAAGACGGCTTGAAATGTGCTTGGATCCATACAAAAACTGGATCCAAGTGGATCCAATTTTTGAATTTTTGAAATTGTTGCTATGCTGTGACGTAGCACTTTCAAGCCCTATTGAATATTGTTGTGACCTTTCCACAATAATTGTGTTGCATTGTCCAAAAAAAAAATTGTCTATTCCGTGGTTGTTATGGTGTTGGTTTTTATTTTTACTTCGCACATTCAAGCGGGATGACGTGGTCCAAGGCGACAGGCAGGGCCGGAGTTCGATGATTTTCTCGTACCGCGCGTACCGTTACCAGAGGGATGGTATGGATACTTGTCTATGGTGGCGTACTTTTGTCCTAGCGCTCGCCGCAAATGACAGCTGCTGCTGCTGGGGACAGTCGGCCAGTGATCCAAAATCGTCCCTTGCACCCTGACAAGTACGGGACGGCAGCGCCGCGCGCAGTTGAATGGGCATCCGTCAGTCGCAAGTTCGGCCGGGGCGAAAAGAAAACAAATCGAAGTAACCAGCCCTGGAGGTGCCGGACATCCAAACAATGTGAGGAAGAAAGGAAAAAGGTCTGAGTTAGCCACTTCGCTTCTGCCTCTTCGCCCTTGCGTGATCATTCGGGGAGTTTCACCATCCTCCAGTGCCTGGCTCCCACCTGTTCCTCATCGCTCATAGCACGTCGTTTGGCGCGGCAGTACCTAGCTTTGGGTTTGCTTGTTGCCACAGCGCACACCGGCACTCCGGCTAACGTCGACGATGGAGTCGGAGCGTCGTACGTGCCGCTTGATAGGCACTGGAAGCCTAACCCTGGTTTTGCTGATGGCGTTCATTGGGCCAACGGACTGCCAACTACCGAAAGCTGTTTACTGCAGCCTCACGCCACCGTCGCAGCCATCACAAGGATGCAACTTGACTCTATACCCGGACGACACGAACGTCACGGGACTGGTTGCCCAAACTTGTGGAGAAGCAGTAAACTCCCTCTACGTCACCTTGAAGAGACGCGAGAGTCCACCTGAAATGCAGCACTGCTGGAAACAGCTGAACGATCTGATCCTTGCTTGGAAATCACCCGGGACATCTCTGACGGTTGTGGCCAATCCTGCTGATGGAATTACACTGAAGGGATTTGCTGGTGACGACCCTATTAAGAGCGATATGCCTATGTGCCTGCAAGGCTTCACGCTCGTCGACTGCGACATACGCTACTACTACATCAGGACTACCATGCAACCTGATCCAATCGTTCAGCACATGACGTTCCGCAACTCGCGCCTCCTCCTGGACAGTATTCAGGGTGGTTTGGAAAACGTATATCTCATCCACAACGTGACCGTGACGGCTGTTGCGCGGGGCGACGCAGCCAGCGCTGCGCTACACGTGACCGAGCCACAGATGAACCTGCGCCTGTCGTCGGTAACGTTCACCTGGAACAACATCACGTGTTTCAACTTCTCCGGCCTGAAATCCCATGCTCTCGGAGCAGATATTCCATTAGACAGTGGCTTCTACCTGCAACTCGATGATGTTAAGTTCAGTGATAATGACGTCAACGTGACAGCCAGTGCGGATCTGAACCCCAGCGTGGCCGTCATCGACATGGGCGATGCAAATCCGTTCCATCTGACACTCGACGGCGTGCACTTCACGCAGAACAGCTTCTCGGGCAGTAGGCAGAGCATCGAGTGCGCGAGCGCGCTACGAGTGACATGCGAGAAGCACGGCTCCAGACTAAATCTTCAAGACGTGCACTTCATTGGCAACAAGATGCCGACGATGATGAGCACGCGCAACGCTGACGTTTCGGCAATAACAGTTTACGTTGAGGGTGTACAAGCCAGTACAACAATGTTCGGCCAGTCGGCGCTATCCGCGGGCGCAATTTCCCTTTCCGGGGGCATGGGCAATCCGGTACTATTGGCTCACGTCACGATTAAGGATAGCGGTGTTCTGCCGGTGCGGGTAGAATCGTCAAACAATGTTACGTTGCAAACTGTAACGATCACTGACTGCAACATGCCTGCAGTACAAACTGCAGTGCCGCTGACTGGGGACATCCCTTTATTGGCGACCGGTATAATCATCACTGATTCGGATCTTGTCAAAGCTAGTAACATAGATATATCGGCGGCAACAACAGACGTCGCTGCCAGCCCAGAATTGCCCATGGCGGTAGTCTACGTCGGAGGAGCGAGTGAGGTCACCATGGACACCGTGAACATTTCAAACAGCCACGGCGTGCCGCTGTGGATCGATTCGTGCCACGACACTGTGCACCTCAGCAAAATTCATCTCGTTTGCAGTGCGGTCCCTCGGTCGGCTGGCCAAGCTACGGCAGCAGTTGGCAATGACACGAGCAACGCTGTACCAGCGACAGGAATAGCCGTGACGGGATCTCCGAAGCTACACCTTCTCAACGCGTCAGTCGTAGGCGCTTGTGCCGAGGGCACAGTCCAGCCGAGCACCACAGCGTCCGTGTTGTACGTCGGCAGTGGTGTACAGTCGGTACTGGTCTCCAACCTAAAGATCTCGCAGAGCGATCGTCTCCCCATATGGATTGACACAGGCAACGCCACCACTATAACTCTATCCAATATCGCCCTCTCGCACAACTGGGTTACCACGGCAGCCACGATTGGCGCCAGTTCACAGCGAGCGGCGACTGCCAATGGTCCGAGTGATGACGTGGCTGTCGTCGGCATCGCCGTCGCCAATGCCTGGAACCTCACGCTGAACGATTCTACCATTTCCGGAGCCACAACGACAGAAGGAGGTGAACACCTGGACGTGGCTGCTGCTGTCGTGTATGCCAAGGATATAGGAAGCTTAGAGATCCACAACTTAACTATATCCGATGGCCTTCATTTGCCGCTGAGAATCCAGAATGCGGGGTCGGCAACCCTGACCGCCATCAACATCACCAATAATACCGTGCAGGCAACGCATGCCTCTTCACCGTCAGCATCGGCTGGACTGTCCGTGGGCAATATCACCCGACTCCGCATCTCAGGATCGGTGTTCCGACTCAACACTCTTCGGGCGACTATGGCAAACACGTCCGTGTCCGGAGCGTGCATGCGCTTCGACTTCACCGGCGCTACCGGCGCGGTGGTGAACGTCTCGGGCACGACGATCACCCATTGCGTGCTCGAGTCGGCGGCCAGCCTAAACGGCGTGAAGATCCTGAGGACGTTCTACGGCGGTGGACTGTACGCGCTCTTCGCTCACAACACGAGCCAGTGCACGCTGAACGTGAGCCAGTGTGGTTTCACCGACAACCGAGGCGTTCACGGCGGTGCCCTGGGCGTCGTGTTTGATGCCAACTCCGAGGGCAATCATGTCATCGTGGACGGGCGCAACAGCACTCGCTTCGATTTTTCAGGAAACAGCGCAACGGGTGAGTCATGTGCCTATCATAATGTCATGTGACCATGCTCTATCATGTGTGTATACGATGCCATGTGTGTGTAAGCTATGTCATGTCACTATACTAGTGGTGTGACGAATCATCGATTATTCGAATTTCCTCGATCTCTTGGACCTCAGCAAATAATCGATCGAATGAAATCTAGGTCGAAGGTTGGAAAATTTGAATATCCGCCGGCGGGCGAAGTCGGTGCGCTGCAAACCGCGCGTAACACTAAATCTTTCGATTTGAATGCGTAAACGTTGTGCTGTGTTGCAGACAACAACTGGACTACACATGCTAGACAGTGGTGCACTATGCTCTGACTCGAGTCTGAGCAGAGTCTGAGCGCTTGTGTTGTGTGTTTGCTTTCATGTACAACTCGCATTCGCAATGGGTCTTGAAAAGAATTGCCGATAATGAATTTTCGGGTGGATCTGTAGAGTAATCGTCCGTTCGCTTGAGTGGTATTTGCTAGACCATTCGTTCGTAAAATTCATGGTTCGTTACATCACTACACTATGCTATGTCTGTGAATATAATTAAACCATGTGACTATGCCAGGTCACGTGACTATGCTGGGTCATGTGATCATGCCAGGTCATGTGATCATGCCAGGTCATGTGATCATGCAGTTAGACCTGGTTTAACCGCACTAGGCCTAGCCCAAATTTGCTCGGGGCGCTTCGATATTTTGCCGGCAAATTTTGCCCTAGCACTTTCCATATTTTGCTTGGCATTGCCTTTCGTTTCCGATATTTTGCTCCATTTTGCTCCTGCTTTGTGGCAAAAATGGCTTCGAATGAACCGTCTACTTTGGTAAAAGTGGATGGTGACTCTAATGAGGAAAGCAAAACTTATAATGGTGTCAGTATTCCGGATTTTGTACCCTTGACAACCTGCACGGGCTACTTCAGCACTACGTTGGCCCAATGAAACCAAAGAAATTTGAATAAAATTGCCAAAACACACCCGGATCCTCTGTAAATTCGATATTTTGCTCGGAATTTGCCAGCAATTTCTTTTCGTGGGAAATTTCGATATTTTGCTGGAAGAATTGCCGGCAAATTTGGGCTAGGCCTAAACCGCACACATCCGTTTTCCACGAAAACATCCGGACAGGCGAGGGAACCGGATAATCGAACACGCGAACTGTATGTATGCATGCCATATGCTGTGAATCGGTAACCAACGTTTTTCGTCCGGATGGTGAGGGATCCGGATAAAAGAGGACCGGATGAGCGAGGTCTGACTGTACGCGTAATTGTAGTATGCCATGTATCTCACGTATTCCTAATCTGCCATGTGACTAATTGGCTTTTAGGCAGTCTATGCCTGGCCATATTTGGCTTGTGGGGACAACATCTGTAAAACTATCCATGCAAGGTGTTTGTGTGTTGAAACGAGCCGCTGACAATCCACGTGTTCACCCCGCAAGGAGGCGGCGTTGAAGAAGGCCGTGCAGCGGTGTGTGCTGCATCAACGAGACAACTCCGGGAGCCGCAGAATTTGAACTCGGATGCTGAGCCAATATCGAGCCAATGTAATCATTAAGAATTAAAGGGAAGAGAAGGACAAAATGACTGCATATGATCTGGTTATGTTTATGAACAGTTACCGCTCAAAGCCGCTGAGTTTGTTCATCATTACAGGGTTCTAAGATGTTGTTTGTTTGTTCACTGTGTGTCTGCAGGCGACAAGAGCACAGCCCGTTCCGACGCAGACACCCTGGGAGCCGGTGGGGCAATCGCTGTCGTGTTTCTCTCCAGCAACTCGCAAAACCGCTTCAATCTGAGCGGCTATCGGCTGAGCGGCAATCAGGCGTCCGAGGGCGGTGCCGTGTACGCTCTATTCTACGACGACGAGCGGACCCACCGGTTTTCGGTGACCGGCTGCGTGTTCACGGACAATTCTGCTCTCACTGGTGAGTGCAGTGATGCTCACACGGTGACTGCAGTGCTGCGTGTTGGCGTAAAAATGAGTGGGAGGTATGCATCTAAGATGGCCGCCACCTTTTTGCGGGGCAAATTACCCCTAACTCGGCAGGTACAACCCGTTATAGTACATTTATGAGTATGACCTCACAAAGTTCATGACCTTTTATGCAGAGCTGGTATCACAGCGTGTACGGTTGTAGTGGACTTGCTCCGCAAAACCTAATGGCGGGAAATGGATGCATACATCCCATTGCACATACCATCAAACTAATTCAAATTCAATAAACCACTTTGAAGTACAAGAATCAATTTACATGTTAGTAAATCAATTGGAACACAAAATAAACAAGTATAAATCAATTGGACCACCAAAAGAAAGGGAAAAAAACCTAGGTAAAAGAGCCCACAGAAACATAACGGTACTGGCGAAGAACGGCAGCTATTTTCAAAGGCCCTGCTGCGTGATAGTGCTACTCCGTGCCGGCTGACAATGAAACTGCAGGGCAGCTTGATGATGGTGTATCATGCATGCTGGTAATTCTACTGCAGGGCTGCATGACTAATGATGGTGAGCCGTGCATTCTGAAAAGAAATCTGCTGTGCTGCTCAATGATAATCTCGTGGAGCGGAATTGCACCATGCACCCAGTTCACGTCCCACGGCTGCGGGTAGAACT